GCAGGGTCTGCCAGTCTTCATCCAGCCACAGTGGCTAGACTGGAGGGCAGGGTCTGCCAGTCTTCATCCAGCCACAGTGGCTAGACTGGAGGGCAGGGTCTGCCAGTCTTCATCCAGCCACAGTGGCTAGACTGGAGGGCAGGGTCTGCCAGTCTTCATCCAGCCACAGTGGCTAGACTGGAGGGCAGGGTCTGCCAGTCTTCATCCAGCCACAGTGGCTAGACTGGAGGGCAGGGTCTGCCAGTCTTCATCCAGCCACAGTGGCTAGACTGGAGGCAGGGTCTGCCAGTCTTCATCCAGCCACAGTGGCTAGACTGGAGGGCAGGGTCTGCCAGTCTTCATCCAGCCACAGTGACTAGACTGGAGGGCAGGGTCTGCCAGTCTTCATCCAGCCACAGTGGCTAGACTGGAGGGCAGGGTCTGCCAGTCTTCATCCAGCCACAGTGGCTAGACTGGAGGGCAGGGTCTGCCAGTCTTCATCCAGCCACAGTGGCTCCAGCAACGGCTGAGCGGTATATGTGAGGATGCCTTCTGAGCCCAGCCTTGATCTTGAAGTGACAATACTCCTTAGGCACGCGCAAGAGCCCAGGTACATGAAGAATTGGCCAGCTTTTCATGACTCTGTGGGCCACCCAGAATCCACTTCACTGATTTATAGATTGGATTTTCTTCTGAACTCTTTTCTTTTGTATCTTTTCTTTCTTAGTTTTTCCCTCTTGATTTTAATTGTCACCATTATTTTTAAGTAATTCACCACGCTGTATGTGTTTCATCTTCATATCATTTCCATTTCTAAATCCTATGAAGACGTGTATGGAGTTCATATTTGTTTTATTCAGTTTTGCAAAAGTGGCAAACCTCTGTTATTGCAGAGCTCACTGCACGCACACGGGCCTGCACGAAGGGGCTTGGATGATGCTTGGTGAATGAAGGAATGGCTGCATGCGGGTCGCTTTGGTTAGCGCCACTGTCTTTCCAGACGTGGGTGCTGGCAGCTGCCAGTGCAGTGGTGGCCATTGTGGGGTTCATGCATGACCGTGTTGCATTTATTTCTTAATGAACGTGGTCTGACCGCTCATAACTTTTGCCTTAGTGTACCTTGATGTTTATGCTTATGAATATACATATATTCTCATGACTTGGTATATTGTATAAAGTGGTCTATGACGTGTTCCCTCATGTTTTTATATGTCTCAAATAAATTCTCCTTAAAGGGTGTAAATGTCTTTTGGGCAATTTTGTTTATTTTTAGGATTTTTAAGTGTGTGTGTGTGTGTGTGTGTGTGTGTGTGTACACGCGCGCGCGCGCGCACCTATGCACATGCTATGAAGCTCACACATAGAGGTCAGAGGACATTACCGGGTTAGTTCTTTCCTTCTGACACGTGGGGCCTGGAGTTTGAACTCAGAGTACCATGTGTGGCTACAAAGCATCTTTACCTAACACCGAGCCATCTCACTGGACCTCAGAAGTTTGTATTTTTAACCCAGAATTAAGTTTTAGGATTTTGATTGTTTTAGAATTTTAAGGAGTTAGGAATTTTATATCTTAGAGATTCTGATATTTAGATCTCGCTGTTTGAGACCTTGATGTTTGGGATTGCGTCCTCCAGGATTGTGGCCCAAATGTCTTTCATTTGATCTGAACCTCAGGGCAGGTGTCTTGTGGTCTCCTTGGAGTTCAGAGTCGTTCACACGGCACACACTTTAGCCTCCCCTCCCCTCCCCTCCCCTCCCCTCCCCTCCCTCCCCTCCCCTCCCCTCCCCTTCCCTCCCCTCCCCTCCCCTCCCCTCCCCTCCCCTCCCCTCTTGTTTCTATTTTTCCTTCTTTAGTCATGCCCTGTCACTTTCCAGGCTTGCATCTCTGTGCTGCCAGTGAAAGTTCTGGCTTCTGTCCCTGCTGTGGTCACAGATGAGTGTGCTGCTGGCGTCCTGTGTGTATAGACACCATTCCATCCTCCCTCCTTGTGTAAGGTGCCATGGACATACCTCAGCTTGTCTTACTGAGTCAGCCACACTGTCCCTGACTGGAGCACCAGCCTGTCCAGGCCTTCGTCTGTCTCCTCAGCTTAGGACCTTCTCATGAAGGGAGGCACTTTATACATGGGCTTTTATACATTGCCAAACCCAGGGTACAGCACTTAGAAGCTATTTGTATCTCAGGAAGAAGACCACCAAGGTACATCAGGCGACCTGGTTTGCTTTCTCAGCAAAGTCCACCAGTTGCCAGTTGTGTTTTTATCTGTGCTGATTTGTCTGTTAGCCACTGCCCCAGTACTCTAACTGTTCAAGCCTCTGTTTGCTCTGTTGTCATGGAGAATACGCAGAGTCACAGGTGAGAGGGTAGCTAGACGCCTCCTGATTGGGAACCCCTGGTTGTCAAACCCTTCGTGTCTCAGACATCCTGATTTGCAGAGTGGCTCTGTGGGCGATGGAGCTGCTGACCCCGTCTCTGCTCCTGTGCTGAGCTGAGCATCTAGAGTGTGACAGACAGACTCCTCACTCTTGTAGGGTTCTCTTCCATTGCCCTGTGGATAGAAGAGAGGGCTTGTTGTGGGTGAAGCCAAATCACTGAAATTGCCCAATTAACTATTCAGAAGGGTTTGGCTACGTAACAAAAATGTCTTTCAAGGTAGATGCTCCAGACTAGAAAATGTTAAAATGTCAGGGAAGGGAAAAACTGGAAAAATTCAGAACTGCATTGTTGCAGTTTCATTTCTGTTGCTGTGATAGAATATCCTGATGGAAAGCAACTTAGAGGAGAAGATTAGATCTGGCTTACAGGTGGCCACCTTTCAATTCAAAGTGGCATGACTCAAGGACCTCTTCATGGTCCTGTTTCCAAGTCCCCACCCCCGCCCCAGGAGCCATGACTCCGGGAACCCTGAGAGGAACTGTGGTTCTGGATGCAGTGATGAAGGTCAGCTTCCTCCTAGCCCAGTCCCGTGGTGTGAGTCTGTGCCATGACCTCTAAGAAGCACAGTCCCGCCCACTCATGACCCCTTTCTTCCTTGTTTGCCCAAAGTCTAATGGTGTCTACATTCAAGACCGTGACCATGGTGTCTACATTCAAGACCGTGACCATGGTGTCTACAGAGTGGTTTCTGAGCCACTCTAGTATGGGCTCAGAACAGGCAAGCGCCCCAACTCTCAGTAACCTCAGCCAGCTTTGAGGAGCTGACTGGAGTGAGGATGTGGACACCGCACCCCCACCTTGCCAACTCCCAATTCTGCAGACTTCACCTCTCTGTCCCAGTTGTTAGGAGACTGTACTTCGGAGTGCCTGCTAGCCCCCTCTCCTCGAAGGGAGTGTTATCTCTGCTCCTCCTCTCGGGATGCCTTCTGACCCTACAAAGAGTCCTTTGAAATAGTTTTTCTGATAACATTTCCAAGTTGTATCTCTAAAAACACACAGAGAACATTTTAGAACTGAGTAAGTCGATACCCAAATTCCACCAGATATCCAAATCTCTTGGGAAACTCTTGGTCCTCTAACCAGTGACTCCTGGTACTTGGCCGCAAGTAGCAAGTGTTCTGTCCCAGGTTCACACCCGGGTCTGAATAAGCCCAGGGCATCAGTACAAATTTAAAGGAGACTTTGCTGAGCTATGTCCTGCCAACCTGTAGTACTGACCACAGAGGGATCTAGCCCGTCCCACCAGGGCAGGGCAGCCAGCCTGTGCTCCTTCCTAGGCAAGGGGACTGGGTGTGGAGCCTGCAGACTCCCCTCCCATCCACACCCACCTCCAACACTGAACCCCTACCGCCAGGTTTAGGAGCCCAACCTTAGTGCTACACCCAGGGTTCATGCAGTTGTCTGGTGACCCATAGGTGGTGCTGTAGAGCTACCTGGAATAACGGAGCCATGTGCACAGGCCTTTCTCTGAAGGGGGTTTAGGATCAAGATTTTAGAGTTGAAAATTGACCTTCACGATGAGGATTCCAAAGGCTAGGTTGAACTTCTCTGTAGCCCGCAGTTAGTTTCTGAGGTGAACACGGGTCCTGTGCACCGTCTGTTTTCATACTGCTCTCAATGTCTTTCACTACAAAATGTGATCCCAGATTGTGTCAGTGCCTCATGAGAGTTCCAGAGCATGTTAAGTACCACGTGGTTACAGTTAGGCTCTTTCCCAATGTCTTTTGAGATCTTATTACATTGTTTATTTGTGTCTGTGTATGGGACTGCATTGCATGTTGGCTCTGCACATGGAGATCAGAGGATGACTTGTGGGAGTCAGTGCCCCCTTTCTGTTTACCGTGTGGAATCTGGGAGTCGAACTCTTGTCTTCAGGCGTGGCGGCAAGTAGCAAGTGCCTTTACCCAGTGAGCCTTCTTGCTAGTCCTCAACTATTCCTCAATTATTATTATTTCTTCTCCTCCTTCTCCTCCTCCTCCTCCTCTTCCTCCTCCTCCTCCTTCTTCCTCTTCCTCCTCCTCTAGTAAAGCTTTAATTTTTCACTATTAATGTATTTTTTACATTCCCATCCCAGTTTCCCCTCCCTTTTCTCCTCCCACCTCCCATCTGCTCCACAGAGAGGGTAAGGCCTCCCCTAGGAACTCTGTCCCATCATCTCATTGAGGTGGGACCAATAGCCTTCAATTTCTATAGCTGGCCACCTTCTCTTTAATTAGTAGTGGTTTATTTACATGTAACAAGATGGTAGCGTGATCTCTTCGCCCATCTTTTGGGTCATTTCAGTTGATTGAAAACTGACAGCTTAACTAGTAGTATATAGTGTTACCTCCCTCTGTGTGGTTCACTCCTAATCCAACCCCAGAACACCCTTCTTGCTGATGCCAAGCCCCGGCCCTGATGTGAGGCAGGCACATCCTGGGATGTCTGTCTGGCTTCTCAATGCCTTTGTCTTCGTGATGCCAAGCCCCGGTCCTGATGCGAGGCAGGCACATCCTGGGATGCCTGTCTGGCTTCTCGATGCCTGTGCCTTACGCTGTTCTGATGAGAAGTGGTTAACACCCCTTTTACATTTTGCATCCCGCAGGGGGCCAGCCACAGCACTGCTGCTCTTCTGGAGAGGTGGCACCCACCGTGCTCTCCAACGGGGACCAGAGTCACACACTTGGAAATAACCTGCCAGAGAAAGACATCAGCGAGCCCAAGGTGGGGATCGCCACGCCATCCGTGTCCATACTTGAAAACAGCAGCAGAGAGACGACCAAGGGTCCCGAGCAGCATAGATTTTCTCTTGACCTAAAGATGCCAGCATTTCACCCCAAGCAGGAGGGACCTAGCACTATTGGCCGGGGAGACTTCCCTTCGAGCATGGAGATAACTAGCCTGCAGCTCACCTTGGACAGCCAGGCTGGGCATTCAAAAGAAAAGCTGTCTGATTTGCACAAGGAGCACTGTGGGGCAGGAAAGCGGGCATCCGCCCCTGACCTGGTCCCGCTGGACTTGAGTATGAAGTCGAGCCGGGATGACCCCAGCAGCAAGGATGCATGCTCCCTGCAGGCGGCCCTGGTTGTTCACCCGTGTCCTTACTGCAGCCACAAGACCTACTACCCCGAGGTCCTGTGGATGCACAAACGCATCTGGCACAGGGTCAGCTGCAGCTCTGTAGCGCCCCCTTGGACTCAGCCCAACGGCCACAGGAGCATCCGTAGCAGCCTGGTCTTCCTTGCTCGCAGTGGGCGCACAGGCCCCCCGCCTGCTCTTGGAGGCAAGGAGTGCCAGCCCCTGCTCCTTGCTCGCTTCACCCGCACCCAGGTGCCAGGTGGGGTACCGGGATCAAAGGGCAGCTCTTCTCCCGTTGGGGTGACCACAAAAGCCGCTAGCATGCCTAAGAATAAGGAGAGCCATTCTGGGGGCCCCTGTGCTCTGTGGGCCTCTGGCCCCGATGGATATCGACAGACCAGAGCCGGCCATGGCCAGGAGCCTCCTGGTGCTGTCGTGCAGGGACCCTTGACCAAACCCAAGCAGGAGGCCAGCTCCAAGTTGGCGCCTTCTCCAGGCAGTGGGGGCCTCAGCAGGAGTGCCACACCCACACCCTCAGTTATAACCCGTGTAGGTGCCCAGCCCTCAGCCAATAACAAGACGGTGGAGAAACTCGGGGTCCCTGCAGTGGGGGCTGGCTTTGCCCCTCCGAATAAGCACAGTGCCCCAGACTCTCTGAAAGCCAAATTCAGTCCTCAGCCTCAGGGTCAGCCTCCCACAAAAGGCGAAGGAGGCTCTCCTCTACCTCCCCGGGAACCCCCTGTGAAGGCGGCCCAGGAGCTGAGAACACTAGCCACCTGTGCAGCGGGCTCCAGAGGGGATGCAGCCTTGCAGGCCCCAGCTGGTGCGCCCCCCATCTTACACTCCATCAAGCAGGAGCCGGCAGCCGAGGGGCAGGAGAAACGCTTGGACATCCTCAGTATCTTTAAGACGTACATTCCAAAGGACTTCGCCACACTCTACCAGGGCTGGGGTGTCAGCAGTCCTGGGCCTGAGCACAGAGGTAAGAAGGATGGGCTCCCTCCTCCCTGGCTGCTCTGAAGGTCATGGGTGTGCATACCTTCCTACTGCCTGAGGCTTCAAGGCGGAGACCTCTTCCTGACCTGGCTAACCTGGAGCTCAACCATTCTCCCCTGGGGCTGTGTGTCTGGGCCGGTAGTCAGAAATCTTTGACTGTCCCCTTTCTGTGGACAGTTTACTCTCTAACACTGCAACTTGATAGGAGCAGACAGGCCTGACCACACTTCATGTTGGCACTTTAAACAAAGCGTTGGTACACATTCACTGTGATTGTTTTCTAGAAGAGAAACTGTTGCATTTGAAGTGATTGTTAAGTCTTCTTGTATTTAAATAATATAAAGGATATGTAAGCAGTACCCTGTAGGCAGAGGCTGCTTGGAGTTGGATGTATGCACGAAGATTGGTGGTTTGAACTGTCCTCTCTGATCCTCAAGCCACAATTAATGGTGTTTCCGTTTCCCCTTCCATGTCATTCTTGACAGCTAATAGCAATGCCTGTCTAGGATCTCTTGTGCCTGGGGCCGGGGATATTTTGGATTTTGGATCTTTTGAGATTTTGGAATAGTTCCCTATATATAGTATCTTGGGAATGGGGCCCATGTCTAAAGATAAAGTTCACACAGTGGTTGTGGCAAGGGGGGAGGGATTTAGTACGTTTGTTTGGAGCGTTTTCACATGGATGTTTGGAGTACCAGTAGCCAGTAGTACTCATAAGAACCTGCCTGCAGGTTTCCCTGCCAGTCAGATATGCCTTGGGTACAGTGGTACTGAATGATGGCCCTGTTCTTGAATGTAAGTCGAAGGTTGCTTTCGCGTTAGCATGTAACCCACCAGGGAAACGTAGAGCCTGTTAAAACAACAACAAAAAGACAGCAAGATGGCAAATTCAAGGCTAGCCACAGTACTTAAGTGACACTCTGCATCCAAAACCACAGTCAGTTCATTCCTGGAGGTCCTAACCTTCTCCTTGAGTAGCTTTGTTTGTCGTGAGCCCATAGCTTCTTGAAGCAGTTACTCCTTGAAGCAGCTGTCCTTGTAATCCGGTGCCTCAGGTCTCAGGAATGCTGTTAGGGAGCTGTGCTGCGGCACGCCTAGGGCCTGGGCTGGTAGTGCAGTGCTCTGAGCCTGCAGCCTTCTGGTGAGATTGTCTGCTTTTACTTGACTTATGGCTGTCTAGTTCTTGGTGACTCTTTCCCCATGGTCCAGACATTTAGCAGCAGAGCTGGTTGTTCACTCCATGTTCTAGAGACTGACTCAGACTCGCTGTCTATCAGTCACCTGTCGGTGGCCTCTGTGACCTCTGACCATTGACCTGCCAGTGTGTTCTGTGGTGAGCTAATCAGCCAGTGACACCACATTCAGGCTGCTACAAAATTCTGAGTTAATCAAAAATATATTTTATTTGAGTGGAAGACTACCTTGGGAGCAAACAGTTCTGACATGTTTCCTAAAACCCCAGGCTGTGGAAACAGGTTCTCCACAGTGAGAAAATGGCCTGCTTTGGAAGTCCCCTCCCCCACGCCTGACCCATTCTGCTGCTGCCCTGTGTGTCTGAGCAGTAGCTGTTGATTTGGGTTGGTCTGGGTGATACTTTTGTAGGAATGGGTTGTGGAACCCCCCACTTCTCCAGCAGAACATGGAAGAACAACTGTGGTTGCCTTAGGGGCCAGGACTCAGAATAAATCCCACTGTATGTATTCACTGTCTTTCTACAAAGTGACTATGAAGTCTGGAAACACAGGGTGTAACACAATTGGTTTGTTAATACAATGTCATGAAAAGTCACTGTGTCCCCAGTCTGCCCTGCCTGTATTATATGATGATATGGATTTCAGATGGGGAAATTAGATGATTTTAGATAGGATAGTATGCATGTGCTTCCTTATTAGAACTTAAAAAAAATCATGTCTCATTGTTTCGAGGAGCTTCTACCCTTGTCTTTCTCCTTACAGATCACACATCACAAGGTAATGATGAGAAACACTCACGCACACAGCCAGGCTGCTTTCTCACTGTGGAGAGCCTCTCTCCGCACCTGAGGGTCTAGGAAACATGTTGGAGCTGCTGGTTCCCAAGGCAGTCTTCCATTCACATAGAAGAAGAGTTTTGAGTAACTGGGAACTGTACAGCAGCCTGGGCGTGGTATCACCGGCTGTAATGGGCAATGCACTTTCTTAAAAAGTAAAAGGAAAGTGCTATGGTGATGTGTGGGACTGTGTGTGTCAGTTCACTGAATGAGAGTGCTTGGATAGGAAGTAGACAACAGTAGTTAGAGAAAGATTGATAGCGACTCGGAGGTGGGGGCTGTGGTAGGGTAGCTGTTGGCACTGTTGTCATCAATTGGTATCTCTGGTGTGGTTGGATAAAGTGAAGCATATACCTAGGAAGGTTCTAGAAGAGCTGTGTATGGAGCGTTTGTTAGGAATTCAGCTCAGTAGAAACTGAAGGGGATGGATTGCTTTTCAGATTGAGCATTATGAAAAAGGGGCATCATTCTCTACAGACTTCTTGTCAGCCCCTTGCCTGAAGTGGAAGAGGGACTCTAAGCTTGAGGAACAAGGGGTCTCACTGGGTGGCTGAGCTCTGCTGGCACCAGGATCGTCCATGCTCAGAAGTGCTGGTTCTGTCTGTTGGGGATGTGTGGGTCACGTACATTCACCCTGAAGGCAGCCTTGCCATCTTGTGGGTTGTTTTTTCGTTGTCTGGCTTGGTGAGGTCTGATGGTTTTGCCTTTCTTCCTTGTTCTTGTAGACTTACACCATTGTCTAAATCAAGTTTTAGGAAGAGGCCATGTGACCACATCCTGGTAGCTCAAGACCTGTTCTCTTTCCCACGGGTCATGCTTGCCTTCTCCCATGAGTGTTGAGTTGTGAGCATTAGCCAGTGACTTCTCGTTGATTCTTAGTGTTCTTTGTGTGTAAGTCTACAGGAAATGAAGTGTCTCAGTCTACAGGGTCTCATAGTGCAGACTCACTGTCTTCATCATCCCAATATGGAATGGGATATGGTTTTATCCAGTTTCTACCAGTTGAGCATGGGGACGTGGGGGACAGTCCTGGAGGTGTGTATCCTCTTGCCATCCTGTCTGTTTGCCCTGATGGGTTACCTTTCAGATGTTGGGGATGTCAGTGTCCAGGAATTGTGGTACAGGCACAGCTTCCACTCCTGCTTAGTTGAGTCACAGTGGGGAGGGCACGCCACAGAGGAAGGCTCTTACGGCAGGTGTTACAGGAAAAGAGAGAAGGAACCAGGGGTGGCGGAAGTCCCTTTCCTGGCAAAGGAAAGACTGGCAAACTGCATGATGCTCTTGGCTCTGAGGGAAGCCAAGAACCAACTGAGGTCTATAGGTGCCTTTGGTTCTGTCCTGCCTTGCTGATGGCATAGCCTACGTTGGGGCTGCCGCCTGCAGTTTGCTGGTGGTCAAGAACTCCTGGCGGACAGGTAGGAGGCCACAGCTGGGGTGGTTGCTGATGACCATTGCTCTGCATCTTTTCCCTGGGATAGTCACTGTGGGCACAGCAGGCTCTGTTCCTAGTCACTTCCTGTTACCTTCAGGCTTTGTCTCTGGCACACTGGCGCTACTCTGATTTGTTTATTATACTGCTTGGTAGGGCCAGGTGACATCTGGGTGGCGTATCCAGCTGCTTGGAACCTCTTGCCCACCACACAGTCTGGCAGTGCCATCCTGTTCCTGTCCTGCGTCTGGAGCACTTGCTTAACTCACTGTAATTTATGTGTCCTTGCAGTCTGGTGTGTGCCAAGGCAAGGTTGACAGCTGTCACCAGGGCCCAGAGGTGGCTTCTCACATTGATATGTCAGATAGACTAATGATGTCTTCCTCTCTCCCTCCCCTTCCGTCTTTCCTCTTCATCTCCATGTTATGCCACATGACTAACAGGGACACCGCGGACACAGGCCCGCCAGGGAGACTTTGTCTGTGTGGAGTGCGGCAAGAGTTTCCATCAGCCCAGCCAACTCAGGGCCCACCTTCGGGCACACACAGGTATCACAGCCCTGTGCCGTGTGACTGGCCAGTGCCAAGCATATGTGTGTTTGTGATGGGGAGGGGGCAGGGGTATGTCCTAGTTTCATTTTGGTGTCATGACAAATGCCATAACCGAAAACATCTTGGAGAGGGGAAGGGTTTATTTGGCATATACTTCCAGGCCATAATCAATCACTGAGGGTAGTCAGGGCAAGAGCTCAGGGCGGGAACCATGAAAGAATGCTCCTTGCCAGCCTGCTTTCTGGCTCACTTACATGCTTAGTTAACTTTCTTACACAACCCAAGACAACTAACTGTGGATGCTGCCACCTACAGTAGACTGGACCCTCCTGTATCAGTTATCAGTCAAGACACTGCCTGACAGACATGCCCACAGATCTCTCTGCCCCAGAAATTTCCTCAATAAGATTCTTCCTTCCAGGTGACTCTAGGTTAAGGCTGACTAACCAACACGTAGCCTTTCTTGCCAGTCATCCAAGGTCATAGTGGGCATGTTTAGGTTTCAACTTGGCCAGAGCTGATACTGTGACATCTACCTCTAGGTCACCCTTAGTGCCTCTTCAGTATGTGGCATGATTTTTTTCTTTGCATCTGTGTACCATGTAGTTTAGTTTGAGAAAAACCCATTTGCATAGTTCCTTTTAACTAGAGTAGACCTTCAGAAGAGATGCTAATAAGTTAATAGTGTCACCATCATCAGTGGCAGCCAGGACATTATTCCTCCAGCCCCAGACTTGCTGACTTCCATCCTGATGGGTAGAGCTGGTCTGTGGATATGCACCTCCAGCCACCTGATAAATCTGGCATGACTTCTGCTTGGGCCACCTGTGTGTCCCAACAGAGCAGGAGCCTTAGGGAGATGGGTACCCTGTCTAGCAACGTGGCATGCACATACCCAGAAACCAGCCTGATCAGCCTTGCCAGGCGGTCAGCAGGGCAGAAAACAGGTCCCTTTACCCACACAGATAATTTATGTTGCTAGTGATTGCTTTTCTCAGTGTGGAATCTGAATTAGGAAGGCTTGTGGCCCCAGGCACTCATAATGATTGAGGTTTTCACTGTTAGTGTTGTGGGGAATGGGTGTTTTCCAGCTGTAGGCCAGGCATTGGTGTCTTCTCGTGAAAATGCTTCGTCCTTAAAGGCCTCTTTGATTTGCACTCAGGAGTCTCCTCAGTCCTCTGCTAACAGACCATTTTTCCCCACAGTCGTGTTTGAGTGTGACGGTCCACAAGGGTCTGAAGTTCACGCAGCCTCCACGGATGCCCCCAAACAAGTATGTCCTGGGATGCATGTCTGGGTGTCAGTGTGTCTGCAGAGGCTTGGGACATAGGGCACCTGTGTATCTTGTGCACTATGGAATAATTCCACGTCACTGTAATAATTCCACGTCATTGGAGCCCATCCAACCAGGCTGTCTGGGGTGAAGAGAGCGCAGGAGGCCGCATAGCTGCCAGCTGCTCTAGACCTGCCTATGATGGCTGGTGCTAGGGAGGAGGGGTGCGGTGACTAGTGGTGATGGAAACATGAGAATTTCTTAGTCTGCGTCGAAGTTAGCCTGCGGATGAATCACATCTTGTCTCTTCTAAGAGCACTGCTTTCTTACTCCTCTGTAAGAGGTGCCTGTCAAGGATGTTGGTCTGGTGTTTCACAGCTGTATAAACACCCGGGAAAAGAAGGCTCTCCTGCATGGACACACCTGTGTGCTTGTCCTCAAACACCTCTCTGTGGGAGTGTGACTATCTCACACATGCCATTTGATATGCCCGGGATGTGGCAAAGCCCTGTGCCATGCCTGGTTTAGGATATGGGTCTGAGGGGTATCAGTGCGCAGGGCTGCTTTTCTGTTATCCTGGCTGACAGCGTGTGGTGTCAGGCACCTTCTGCTCCCTGCTCTCCACCCCTCCCACTGTCCTAGTTTCTTCACATCACATGGGTTATTGACTATTCTGTCGTAGCTGCAGAAACTCTCCCCTTTGTCCAAGCCCTGTCTGGTTGGTAGGATTCAGATCTGTGTGCCTGCCCTAAAGTGTCCCTTGACCTGTGATGACAGGATTAAGGCCTGCGCTGTGGTCTCACTATAGTGAGATCTCAAGGAACTTTTGAGGATCTCTTTAGGTTATTTCAGTAAAACCCGTGGTTTAAAATATAAAGGAATTCCTTTGTGATAGTAAGATAGTTTTTAAAACAAGTATAACCTCTCCCAAATACTGAATAGAAAGATTTCCCGGCCCAGAGCCTGCTCCTGGATCAGGTTAGTGCTGTTTGCTCCAACAGAACTAAAGGCAGCTTGCTATAGAAGGGCCATTGTGCAGAATGCATGGGTTGCAGTGACAAGGAAGGTCGTGTTGTGACTAAGGATTACATTTAGGCATCGCAGCTAGAATGAATACTAGGCTCTTCTGCTCCCAGGCCACCAAAGACTTGGTGGGATGCACTAGGCTGATCTGCCAATAACCATTGGGTTTCCTAGAATGGTGAGCCTGCTTACTGGGGCTAATTCTTCCACAGCTTGTCCCCATGCTTTTGTCACATGGAAACAGGAGCTCAAAGGTTGAAGTCACTACAATTTTATGCTAGCTTATTCTTGGGTTGCTTTTACTTATACTAGGCCTTTATATTAATATTACTGGTCTGTGGTTCTGACAGAGAAGGATGCTGATGTGTCATCTCTGTCTCTAAATGTAACGCTGTCACATTAGACTTCCTGCCACCGTCCTCTTACTGTCAAGCTTATGATCATCCAATACTGACATCTTGTTACTGCGGATCCAGCCCTGAGGGGTGCATTTGCTTTGCCAGGAGGCCTCAGCAGGTCAACTCTAATTTGTTCAGAGGGACAGAGGTAGCACAGGCCTTAGTGCTAACCCCAGCTTGACTCACCTGTCTTTTATAGTAGCTAGTTAGTTTAATTCTATATTTAAAGTCATGTGCTCCATTGGCCCCTTTGCCCTCCCTTACCTTGAAAAGTATAGATTTTGTTGATTTGTTGTAGATGCTCTCAGTCTTTATGGAAATTCCATTTTTGCTAATGTATTTTGAAGCTTAAAGAAATTTGTTGTCAGAAAACCACATCTGTAATAGGTTCTTCCTATAACATAAGCTGTGTTCTTCCTTCTTACTGGTTCTTACGGGTTAATCATGAGTGCAGTGTCTTAGGACACGTTAATTTAGAACTAGTTTATGCCATCATGAATGCCTGAAAAATATCTTGTTGTGCCTATCAAAGTGCTTTCCTAACATTAGCTAATTATTATTAAATGGGGTTATTTTCCTTTGGACTTTAGAGGCTCTGGACTTTGTTAGATCATGTAACACTGTTCATTCATACTAACGTCATTTCAGGTGATACTCAACATGATGGAATTTTACATATACACATAAAAGTTGTTAAATTATCCAGTTGAGGCAACCTGTGGTTAAGGCTGGTGGGTGTTTTTGCTGAGGGAATAAGAATGGTTGCTGGGAGCAGGAGCTGGGTGTCTGGGAGCTCTTGTAGGGCAGTGGACTTGAGCCCAGCAGGGTGTAAGACTCAAGGAGGAAGAGCATGAGAGATAGTGTGAAAATCAGTTGGCTGGAGGAGGCTTGGTGACATGGGAGGCCGAAGTGTGGGTACATGTCTGGGGAGATGGGAACATCTGGTCACTGCATGAGATTGTCACCCAGAAGAAAACTTCTTGAAGCAGAGGGGTGACATGCAGAGTTCAGCTCTGAGGCCAGACTTGTGGACAGCCAGGAAGGTGAACCCTTGGGGGCAGTGAGTTGATCCCAGTGAGGGGTTGTACAGCTTAGTCGGCATGGGCATGGAGAACGGGGTCTGAGAGACATTAGAGAGGAGTCAGTCAGGGTGTAGGTAGCAGACAAGGAAAGACAGAGGTGGGGTTCTGTCCTGTCCTGGGCCTGGGTGGGGGAGCAGGAATACCTAGTAGGCAGGTAACTTGGAGGAAAAAAAAAAGATCTTGGCAGCAATCTTGGTGATTAATAGCTACCAGCATTCGGTTTATTCATGGTCAGTTAATTCTACTCTGAGAGGTGTATAACGTGAGTTGTTAGGATACAGAGTTTGGAGAGGAAGACTCTAATCTCAGTTGGGGATGAATTTACTATTCTGTGCAGTGTGACACACTGGTCCCCAGGAGACGCCCCCCACCTGGCACGGAGGACACACACTGTGAGGGAGTCACTGTTGCCAGATGATCTAGTGGAGGACTGTCTAAGAAAATTCGCACACATGGTGAGAGCGTGTTGCTTGCGTCTCTCTGGTGTGGACAGGCCCATTCCCATAGGGGATCACCAGTAATAGCTTACACGAGGGAACAGCCCCAGGGCTTCTGGTCTTTACTTTGCCCAGCCTTTGCAGGGTGTGCTGATGGGCTTGTGTGTACTCTGATTTTAGTGTGCTTGAGAGACAAGTCACTACTTCTTCATAAAAGGGAGGATCCAGGAGAACTGCTGGTTTGAGCAGTCTTGCCAACACGGAGTTTCCCAGTAGCCAGCTCTTCTTGCCAGTTGGTACATTGAGGTTTTTGGATAGACAGTCACAGAACAACTGTCATGGCTATTGTTGTCAACTTACAGGGTCTAGAATCATCTGGGAGACCAACCTTTGGGTATGCCTGTGAGGGAGTTTCTTCACACCCTCCCTCCCTTCTTCTTCGCCTCCTCATGGAGGATTGGATGTAACAGCTACGTGAAACTCCTGCTGCCAAGACTTCTCTGAGATGAGAGAGTGTACACTTGAGCTATGAGCTTAAAGTTCCTCCCCTCTCTGAGTTACTTAGTCTGGTATTTTGACAGCCACTGGAAAAAATAACTACTGCACACCAATTTTGCATATCAACATTTCTATTTGCTGTATCAGATTTAGAAAATCAAAATATGCTGCTGTTTCTGGTGACATGACTGAACCAGCATGGGATCTATCAAATCTCTGAAGTGATTGGTTTAACACTGTCATCTCTCAGGCCTTTTTCATACATGAACTCGGAGGAACAAGGGCAGCTAAGTAGCTGGTGTGTCTGAGGGTAGTCTTCTCCTATATATGTCCTGTGTAAGCCTGTCCCAGATCACAGGTGTATATTCCAGGACCTTCATAAAACCAGGTCACCAACCTCTCCTTTTTGATGGCCACGGACGGGTCTCTAATAGGAAGTGGGTTGTGACTGTGTCTTGGAAGTCACAGAAGTTTATGGCATGAGTTTACAGAAGGCAGCTCTGGCCATATGACCTGTTGTCTGAACTGCTTGCTATCTCTCAATTATTGTACAAAAACCAACATAACACAAGCTTAGGAAACCATGAAGGGTCTTGGCCTTGAGTTGAGGAGCCATTTCCTCCTCAGTGGAAGGGTGTTCAAGTGAAGCCTCCTGATGGGGAGGGCATGTCCTCCCAGGACACTGACCTGACTTTGTTGAACATGCTCTATCCCAAGGACGGACAGTTTCCAAGGGGGAGTTTTTATTGTAGGGTGACATATTTTGTCCATGTGTAGGTTCCGGTAATCCTCAGCATTTGTTGTTAGAAAAACCAAGACAAAACACTTTTTGAAAATTAGGTGCTGAAGTGTGGGTCTTCCTGAGCCATGGTAAAACTAATATTTCAGAGAAGCTGTTTTTATCACTGTTTTACAGTTCAACGATTAGTAGCTGGGGAGATGGCTTATTGCTTAGAGTGCTTGCTGCCAAGCCTGATGACCTAAGTCGTGCATGAAGCCTGGAAAGATCTAACTAAGTCCCCCACATTGTTCTCTGCCCCCCCCCCCCATGCACCGTAGTGTGCCTACACACATGCACACACACTGTGACTACATAAATGTAGTAAAATACTTTAAAAGTTACAAAAACTTTTGAAACCAACCCAACCACCCATCCTAACCCCCAGTTTACAGTTTTGCTATAATGTGAAACACAGTGTTTTGATTTGTTTGGATTTATTGTCAGAATTTAAGGACTATGATTAATAGTTTATTCTTCATCATTCTAAATGTTAGTTTAAAATAGTTAAGTTGGAGACATAATTCCATAAATCAAACTAGCAAGAAGCGTAAACAAGGAAAGACAACCCTCCTGCCCCGCTCACCCTGGGCAGCTGAGCAGATGGTACACCGGGCAGGCCCGTGGCTCTGCATCTCGGCCCCTTCTCACCAGTGTGCTTGGAGATCTTTGGCATCACAGGTCTGAAAGCTAATGCCACTTGAAGCTTTTATTCATAAAATCAAACAAGCATCTTCGGAGCATCATCTGTTTTCTCTAATACTCTACCAGATGTGACTGGGGACTTCACCAGAATCACTTCACCTTGTCACCTTGTCATTGCTGACTGATGACAAAGGCCAAGCTCCCTGAGGTCTGGTGTGTAGTTGTGGGCTAGCACCACAAACCTTGCGCATGGCTTTTCTTGTGTGCCCCTTTGGCTGGTGTATGTTGAGGGCAGACCCCCATGACTGTACATGGTCTCTTGTCTTATAAGGAAAGAAGAGGAAAATTGATCCTACCTGATTCCAGAGTCAGTGTCCAGCCCACGAACACCTAAACTGTGATAGGTAGTACTCGCTTTGGCTCAACTTCATCGCACAGTGCACAGCTGTGAGAAGCAAATCCAGTGTCCCGAAAGCCTGCTCCTGTGTCCTGGCTGCTGCTTCCTTCAAGGAGGAAGCAATTTGTACATTTTCAGATTAATCCTGTAGATCTCTTTTCCTAGTTTAATGCATTCCTTTGAATCCCTGCAAGGGGTACTGCATTTGCGGTCCCATCATTGATATCCCGATGAATCAGTGGTCTGAAGTGACTCTCCAGAAGTGCGGCATTTAAACCCATCTCTTCAATATAAAGGGAAATGCCGATCCTGCAGCGATCTGTGGACACAACCTAGCAAGTGCCCTGTTTTGGTTTCCAGGCTTTGCAGAACTGGGATAAATAGTTTGAAAACTTTCTGAGCCAAGCAGTGTTCAGCTCTTTATTGGTGGAGGACCATGCCTCTTCTCTCTGTCCCGCCCCAGGGATAGTTGATGTGGTCTGTCCAAAGATAGAAGCACGGGTAGGTGTTTCCTGGGGGCTGTTGTGCAGCCGTCCATTGAGACTCCAGATTCATACAGTACCACAGCCTTGTTCATGGCACCTTAGCCTTGTACAGCTTCCTCTGTCCTGGAGCCTCTGGTAGTATTTTTGCCATAGGCAGGTGTTTATGGTGACATTCAAGGCCAAACACTCAGAATTGCAGCTCATTCTCTTGTGGAAGCCCAGAGCCCCCTGTCCCTTTGCAAACATGCCTAGAACTTGTTCTCAGTGAGCCCTGCTATGGCTGGATGTCCACAGAGATATCTGCCATATGTCATTGCTATGTAACAATGACCGTCATCTCTCCTGGTCTACAGCAGGAAGTTTATCATCTATCTGAGGGTGGGTTTGTCACGCCTCTAATTGATGCTACTTTTGGCACTTCAGATCGACCACAGGCTGCAATTCTGCGCCTGCCTTGTCTCTCATTTTCTGAATATCTTTCTGGTTTCTACTGTGTATTGATCAGTAAACATTGTATGCAAGGCCAACTTTTAGTTCTTTTCTGAAAATCTTAGCTAAAGATTTGAAGCATTAAATTTATGATGCCAACTAACTCACTTCCTGTGTGTTTCTAGGGTTCCCATAGACCTAGCTGGAGACTAGAGTTTCCCATGAGCTGTGTGGTTTGTGGGTGCATGTTGATTTCAAGTGGTTGGTTGGTGTCTTAGTTAGAGTTTCTATTGTTGTGAAGAGACACCATGACCACGGCAACTCTTATAAAGGAAAACATTTAATTGGGCTGGCTTACAGTTCAGAGGTTTAGTCCATTATCATCATGGCAGCATGCAGGCAGACATGGTACTGCAGAAGATGCTGAGAGTTCTGCATCTTGATCCACAGGCAGCAGAAGCAACTCTGAGCCACACTGGGCATAGCTTTGCCACTATGGGACCACAGATCGATGTGGGCACCATGGGCTTTTCTTTTGTTTGTGTGGCTCCATGCTCACCCGTCAGCCCTATTGTTCACCTGGGAATCTGTACCACAGACGTGTGCTTTTCAAACCTCCATTCCTCTCATCTTGCTGACTTCTAGAATCGCTCGGAGCCAGGCCTACCATTGCTGTTTGCTCTTTGAGGCCAGTGATACTATCTAACACTCAGGGCAGCGGGGGGGTGTTCTACTGGGGAGGTTTCTAGTGCTGCCCCATTGAAGGCAGCAGGGTGAAAGCAAAGTATTCATGCTGGTGTAAAATGAGCTGCCCCTAAAACCAGAGGCCTTGATTGCTTCTGCCACTTTGCTTGGTGAAGGGTGCCCTGTGTTTCTGGGTCTCGCTAAGAAAATTCATATGGTAAGTACTCTCGGGACTAGAAAACAACTGAGCTTGCTTGCTGTTTTCTTTCTTTTCCAGGGGAGAGATCATACTACCCCAGGGACTGTGCCAGCGGGGCCCCTCCAGAAGGGGACCTAGAGACATGCCTCCAGCGCTCGGCTCCGTGATGGTGTTGACAGTGGCCTCACGGGTCATTGGAAGGCTCCCATCAGTGACCATGGCCACCTTGGAGAGGAAGAGCCAGGGTTTCCTGACCAGACTACCTTAGACCCGGGAGCCGCTGCGCTAGAGCAGACCAAGGGAGCCGCTGTGCTAGACGCCTCCCTTGGTGACATTTAAGGACAACGAAGATGCTATGCCTAGAATTCCGTGTAGCTCTTTCACACACATGTTTGTGCTCATCCACCATGGCCTGTGTCTCCTCATGGTGAGCAGTGGTATTGGCAGGCACAGTGGGAGCTCAAGGCATCTGTATCACTCAAGACAAGCGTGAGACACTGGAAAAAAGATGATGGTGTGTTTTGGATGGAGTGAAGAGCTAAGCACTGTGGGAGGTGCTCCGGTGCTTAGAGGACAGGTGACACTGTCAGGTGACACTGTCAGGACACGGGGCGTGGAGGCTGTTGAGGGTCCACACCACTGCCTCTCCCTGCCTCAGTGGGTATTTAATAGCAGGTAAGACGGAGGGTGGTGTTCAGGAGCTGTGAGGCTTGGTGGTGCTCGGGCTCAGTAAGGCAGGGCGGTGACAGGTCCTCACAACTCAGAGGTCTGGCCATGACCCCCTCTGGGCTGCTCATGTCACCCTCATGCTCTCTGTGTTTTCTCTGTTTGGGCTGCATTGGCACAGGAAACACGGCAGAGATGGGAACACATATAACCCTGCTTTGGAAAAGAGTTAGTTGAACACTAAGAAGAGCAGGTGTCTTTGTTTATTCTCAGGACCTTTTTGTAACAGGGCTACATTCTGCAAACTGCTCACAAGAGAAGACTACACGTCTTAACAGATTAAGCCACTGAATTCTCCCAATTTGGGCCTGTTTTAGTGATGGCAGAAGAATCCTTGAGCAGATTGGGGGCCCTAGATCTTTAGGGTGCTAGTGCTCTGGGGCCTTCTGCTCCCTCCCTCCCTCCCTCCCTCCCTCCCTCCCTCCCTCCCTCCCTCCCTCCCTCCCTCCCTCCCTCCCTCCCTCCCTCCCCATCCCAAAACCTTCCCTGCACCACCCCAGCAAATAGATGTCTTTCCCCCTCGGGCCTGGTGGCCACCACTGGACGAGTGACTTTGTTCACGGATTGATGGGAAGGCACCAGGCCTGAGAGTGAGGACGGCTTTATATACCTCTTCCTTAGTCACGCAAGTTCACGTTTCTGTGGTGGGGTGAAGGCCCCAGCAGAGGTTCTGAACCCACACAGCGTGTGCGTTCGGAACTGTATTCCGCAGGTAGCAGCGTTTCCTTTTCCCGTTGCTGTGACACTGTGTGTGATGGCGATACTTCTGCAAGTTCCAGATGTTTGCACATATGATTTTATGCATTATCAGAAGTTACTGCTGCCTTGAATGAAAAATGTTCTGTGAAATTTTTTGCAAAAGCTTTACTAGTTTTTTTTATTGTGAAATTTTGTAAAGGCAGGAAATGGATTAAGACAAGCATGCTAAATATATTTTTCAAAAAAAAGCAATAATTTTACATGTACAGAAATTATCCTAACCTTTAATACTGGTGAGAGCGACAGTTTACTTAACACAGTAATGGATCAGTGCAGTTTTTGTAGGAAATGGGCCTCTGATACAAAGACTTGTTTAAACACACATGTATACATGAACCCTGGCGTGTGGTTTCTCTGTTCTAATGACCTGTTGGATTATTATTATTATATTATTATTATTGTTATTGTTATTGTTAGCTAATGTTTTATTCTGGATTCTACTTGTTACTGTTTTAATTACTTGACCGTTCAGGTGACTGCGACACTTGCAAACAATGCAATGTTAACTGGCTAGCAGATACATATATACATGTATATGTATATACATACATATATATATAATTATTTTTATTACCTATTTTTTCCTGATACTCCTACACCAGGTATGTATGAGAGCGGCTTGCCGTGTCCGAGTGCTTAGGAACATGGATGGTTCTGAAATGTCACCTTGAGCGGGTCGCAGAGACACATTCCTCTCTCCACCTGAGGCAGCAGAGCCCCTTTCTGTTGATTCGTGTTTGATCATTTTGATAGTTTTCCTCCCATCATTTCTGCATTCTCTGGCTTTTTGTTTTCTTGGCTGAAAGCAAAGGTGACAGTTAGGAATGTGCAGGGGCCTGTGATTTGACCCCATCTATTTCTGTGTTTTAGTTATTAAAAAATTCTGTACACAAAGGGACACAAAGGTGTTGTTTGCGTTCTTATTGTGTCCGAAGCTGCACTTGGCATTGAAAGCTGGAAGGTTGTGTCTCCCAGTGGGTCCCCTTCCCAGTTTGTCTGGGGGAAGAGGGATGTGTGGGGTCCCTGCAACTGAGGGTCTGAAGAGCAGCCAGGAGAGCAGCCGGTCCCGGGATGCCGTGTCCTCGAAGCACAGAGAGCAGTCTTCATGTAGCCATAGGGCCCCTCCCCAGCTCACATTCCCTCTGGGACCCGCTATCTGCTGGCCTGGGTGTGTGGCCTGTTTGTCCCATTGGCCATCAGTATTGGACTGGCTTGTTAACTCATTAATGTCAGCTCAACCATAGTATTTAATATGATTTATGTCTTCTTATTTATTTAGCCAATCTGTTTTGATTTGCTCCCCCACTGAGATAATTTCCGCATTTCTGACTGTTACAGACTTCCTACTACCTCTACGAATCTGCTGTCTCCTTGTTTCCTCATGGGAGTTTTACAGTGTTGCGTCTAATGTACCTTAGACAATAAAGGGTTTGGTTGTCTACACTGCAGCTGCCCTGTGTGTCTCCCCTGCCCTTCAACCCTGCGCTCTTCCTGGCCCCTGCCTTGCTCACCCCGGCCTGGCTCCTCCATCTCTGCCTCTTAGTCTTTCCCCTACCTCTTCTCTCACACTTCCTCCTCATTTCAAATGCGAATAACACGTACGGAGTTCATCAGAATCTCTTAGGTGATTTAATCTGTCCTAATTCAGAGAATGAAGATTTAAAGTCACGACTAATAAATAAGTAGATTCTAATGGTCCCACCCCTGCAGAGTTGCCCAGGGTACCCAGCCATGCGTCTGCTGGCTCTTGGGAGTCTCTTCAGTCTCTTAGGTGAAGGCAGCTCAGCCTCCCCGCACAGTACAGTTTCCAAGTCAAGCAGACTTTGTCTTTTTGGTTCTGAAAATATTAGATAGTTTAAAGAAGTTTTCCCCATATTTACTTATTTATTTTTTAAGTCCAGGAAGACACTGGTTTCTGAAAATTAGGTGCTCCAGGAAGCACAAGGCCACTCCATAATAATAAAAGAGCGCCAGTGTCCCAGTGGGCTGCAGGGCGGCCTCTCCTGATTGGCTGCTGTGAGGCACTGGAGTCTGCTTCCAGGTGCCTTGCTCGGCACAGCAGGTGGCCGTTCTACCTCTGGCATCCCCAGGGCTGGTAGCCTTGGTCTTCTCACCTCCTTGGAGCCAGGAGGGTGGCTGCTCTCTGGTGAGGGTTTTCCAGGTGACACTTGTGGGTGGGATTCTCTAGGAAGGAAGTGTTCCCTGGCCTGTTAGAGACTTGACCAACCTCTGTAAGACAAGACCCCTCCCTGCCACCACACCTGCAGAACACGATTTGTTTTTTCATGCTTACCAATCTATCAGCTTCTAATAGCAACTTTTATTTGCTGAGAGAAAAACAGAAAACAAAGCTAAAAGAAAAACAGCCCTGCAAACAAGGCCTTCCAGGACACTGGCGATTGCTGCAAACTGCAGAGCCCGGGGACACTCCTGAATGAAGTGACCACCAAGCAAATGTTCTTCTTCACCAACTTTAATAATTAGTCGTTGAGGTGGTAAGATGCAGAAGACCATAGAGTTTGTATTTCTTTCTAAAAAATACAATTTATAATGCTATATTTTGTACTCTTTATATTAGAATTTGTAACTAGATTGATGTATTTAACTATTTCTGAGAAAAAATTTCAATGTTACAGCTGTGTGATAAAAGATATTTAGATAAAACATATTCACTCTATTGGAATTTGAAATAAATAAAAACATCTTGGAGTTGTAAAATATTTGCCCCTCCTTTAGAAGGTGGCTTATATTATTTGACAGCTTGTCTTGACCTGCATTTATTCCTTTTTATTGGCTGAATATAAGCCCAAATGTTACTATTCTTTACTTGTATGGTTTTACAACAAGCCAAGGGATGATTCACCTGAAAAGATGCCAGATGGACAGTCCCCAAACCCCATCTTTTGTGGATTCCAGGGTATGCCTTTTTTGCTTTGTTTTTAGTGAAAAGCTTTTTTTCTTTTCTTTTTTCTTTTTTCTTTTCTTTTTTTTTGCTACACACCCTCTTCTCTACTGCCTGAACACCGTGTTTTGATGTTTGCAGTAAAATTAGACAATCCCTTGGTCCAGTGGGAGTCATAGTGGAATGTGGGGAGAGGTTCTGGGTGTGGAGCCACAGCTGGTCTCTGCTCCAGACTTTGGGCATATGGTGACCTAGGGCCTTTGACACTGACTAGGTAATAAAAATGGAATTTGGCCATCAGATGCCAAAAAAGGTATGTCTTGAAAGTAAAAGATGTACCTGTATGTCTGTGTGCCCTAGAAAAGGGATGAGCAAGTACTTGGAGACGACTTTTGATGGCATGAAAGAGGCCATCACTGTCTTCCTCTACCCGCAGAGCCATGGGCAACCTCACTGTCGCCCACTCCTGCTGCACTTCAAGAGGAATCACCATTTTTGAGGGATTTCCTAAGAGGCCTCAGGGTGACGCAGGGGAAATACAGCCTGTGTTGATTCAGGTGAGATGTGTGGCTGTCCTGGACCTCCCTGCCATTGAATGGCTGGTTCATAAAAGGATGAGATGTGGACCGAGAAGATGGGAATACTAAGTCTGCAACGGGCAGCTGAGGCTGAAGCTCAACAGCCCCTGAGATGTGACAGCCAAAGCTCAGCCCAGAGACCCGTGTTTCACCAATAGGTGCTTAGCTCACAGACTTGCTCATGCTCCAGGGTTCACATCCAAACACACATTTCCCTTACTCTGCATGGAAACACTGTTCTTCCAGGAAAGTAACCCCACAACAGGAAGGACACACATGCAGCCATAGGCTGCCTGGAGCACTTCCTTGGCTATTGGGAATTATGGGAGAAGACCAGCCAATGATCACATGTCCCTGATCTGGATACAAGAGTTGAACATGGCCATGTTACACACACACACACACCCCTACCTCCCTACCTGATACTGAAGTGATGAAACTAATGGTTCCAGTCAACACAGTGAGCGTAAGTTCCCAACTGGTGTACAGTTCAGTCCATTTTTTTTAGGTCAATACTAGAGGGACTAGCAGATTGAGATGTAAAATGTGGCTTTTGTTTGTAGCTATACTTGTTCAGTACTTACTCTGAACTGACACAAGGCCTAGGGTGATTTCCAAGGAGTCCTTTAGGAATGTAGGAACATGTGATCACGTAGTCCATTTCATTTCTCCTGTTGGAAGAGGAAAACTGATAATGAGCAGGTAGTCTTTCTTGGGACCCTATAACAAAATACCTTAGTTCGAGTCATTTTAAAGCAGTACTCTCACTGCTCTCAGTTCTGGGTGGTGGGAATCCTGAGCAAGGCACCAGAGACTTGGCATTTAGCTGGAACTAGCTCTGTCTCACCAGTGGGCTTTGCAGCATCATCCCTGGCTAGAAGGGAGAAGCTCCTGCTACCTCTTTCATGTGGCCACTGATCACACCCAAGAGGGTTCTACTCTGCAGACCTGGTCTCCCAAAGGCCGCTTTATGTCACCACAGAGCTTTCATTGTGCATATCTTGGGTGTGCAAACAGACAGCAGCAATGGCTCTTTCCATCTGAGGAAGATGTGTGGGATCCCACATTAAGTCCTTGGCTTGGCGAGAGCAGGACATCAGAGTGGTGACAGCTTCTAAAAGGCAAGGGGATCTGGATCACTTGGCAGTAGGACATTATCTAAGTCCCAAAGACA